GCTTGCACTTTATCTCTCTCTCTCCTTCCCACTTTCAATTTCTTCGCATCTCTCCCTTTCTCTCTTTTTGTATCTCTGTTTCTCTCATTGTATTCCTTAACTACTATTTTTCATGCTTAAAATATGTCGCCCTTTTACAAAAGGATAAATAATTAAGTGCTAAAGCAATTCAGGCCAGGCACGTGTTATTATCTCCTACGCTATAAAGTTTGTCTCAAGCGTTCTCCCGGTCAAACATCTCATGTTTAATACGTACTATATATAAAATCCCATAAGTAGTATATAAAGTTATATACGAATTATAAACCAAAGTCTGCCGCGCCTCTGATTTTCAAATATCATATTTATCTTGTTATCTTTTGGTTTATGTTCATGCTGCCAGACAATCTGCAAATACTAAAAAGCACAATTTTTTTAAACAATAGCATGCTTTTAGGACGCTAAAAACTGTGTTTATGTTCTTACCTGTTGAATAAATAAAATGAAACACAAAGGTGTAGCTGCTGTTCCATACAATTCCGCATAATTTCCCATTGTGTTAAGGCTGTTATTTGTGTTTACCAATCCGTCCATACTTAACAGTTCTCTTTGATTATTATATATAAGCCCATTCTTCCGATTTTTTGCACAGTCAAATGAAATCTTGTTTAGTTTACATTTGCTTGGCGCTTTGCGTGCTCCAGGCATACACTCAAACTATGAGCTTCTGTCGTGGTCGTCCTGGTAAACAATGAATGATTAATTGGGATAATTTAATATTTGTAAACATTTAACAAATTGACAACTTGCAGTTTTCCAGAGCTGTAAAGGCGGCAAAAATGTCGGTTACGGTAAATATTCCCGCTGCACTCTGTGGGCCATGGACAGAATGTGGTTTTACGATCACCTCAGTAAATCTTGTTATATGCTAAACTATCGAGGATGCGGTGGTAACACAAATCGATACTGCTCTGAGGCAGATTGCCTTAGAAAGTGTAAGCATTAAAGATTACAAAATTCACTTCAATCTTTTGATTGTATGTATTATTATTCACACCATGGAAAACACCGTTACCTTTTATAACATTGTAATACATCCCTGGCTCATGAGTAATGTTATGATATCGATAATTCAGATAGCGTTTTTGAATATTTAAATCGATTAATTTAAAGCATATGCATCTGTTAAGTTTCTGCTACCGATCTGTATTAAAAACTCGCCACTTTTCATTTAAAATTCAGCCTCAGCTTTAGCTTTATATTCAATAGTTTTGTGTAAATTGTATACAAAAAATTGTTGCTATCAATTATTTGAAATGCAGGCAACAACTTACGATAGTTTTACTGAAACAATTGATTCTCACTGTTAATAGCATATTTGAAAATGTTAAGTTAACAGAAAAACTAACAGAGCTCGATGTCAAAGTGAAGAAGAAGAGCAATTTTCATTTAAGAAACATATAAGGGGCAAAATCTAAAACGTAAATATGTCGTACGTTTTAAATAACGCAATTCGTCGCCAAATTAGCGGTATTGCCGCCAGGAATATGTCCGGCACTGCCGCCGTGGCTGGAGAACATTCGGGTAACTATCACCATAATCGATAATATCCTCATAGTTAGGTTAAGGTTATATAATTTGGTGTTTGTGCCAAAACTTTAGAATCTCCAAAGACTTTAGCTTTAATAAGAATACTTTTTCAGGTGGCTACAAGGTCTGGAAGCGTCTGTCCTTCTTCGTGGCCATGCCAGCTGTCGGTCTGTGCATGCTTAACGCTTACCTGAAGCACCAGGAGGAGCACGACCATCCTCGTCAGGAATTCGTGAAATACGATTACCTGCGCCGCCGTGAGAAGCGCTTCCCCTGGGGCGAGGGCAACAAGAGCCTGTTCCACAACCCCCACGTTAATGCCCTGCCCGATGGCTATGAGCACTAAACGTCTACCCCACTCTTTGTAAAGGTGTCGCAGTTGTTGGTAACTCGCCTTCACTGCCTTAATCACACTCAATGTATTTAGCATATTGTAAGCTGTAACTAATGTGGAAATACACACAAACCCAAACACATTCGACAAACTTGTCTACAAATAAAGAGTGACAAACTGCAGCTAATCAATGGTTAGGAATCATCGAATCCATTCTGATAGCTGCATAACAATAAAACAACTAAACATTGTCGAATGCCAAATACCCTTGCTGACATATGGAGGATGTGCCGCTTATTTCAATACCTGACAATGTTTTCATACAAAATTGTGATCGATTGTTCTTATGGGAGCTCTAGTGTTATCAGTTCTCCGGCCAGGCAGATGAACATCCCAGCTCCGAGGCAGTCTAGCTATTCTAAATCCGTATTCATCTTCCCGCAGCCAAGATTCAGCAGGCAGGTAAGTACTTTACACGCTTTTTAATTTAATAAGAATTAAGTTTTTTATACTTTATAATCCCGGCACATTTATTAAAGCAAAGATATGCAGGCGAAGCACGACTTTACAAGCTGTTTTATAAACATGCCCAATTGAAAAAAAAGGTTGATTGCTTAGACAAACGCTTCGAAAACTCTTATAATATTTATTTACCAATACAAATTAAGAAGCCAACTTAATTTGAATATATTAATTCGGCGTAAATTCAGATTTTTGTGATTTTGTTGTTGATTTTCTCAACTCTTAAATGCATCTTAAACAGAAACATTTCTACATTTGCAAAATGAACAATTTACAAATTCTGTTAATTATCATAAAAGCAGCTTGTCCAGGTGTCCAACGGTATTTAGGCTCCGAGATATTTTAGTTGCAAAACTACTTGGTGCTCTGATGCTTAGAACTGGCGGCCTTAGCGTTTCTTGGCTTGCTGCTCGGTTTGGCCTGGTCGGGAATAATCTTCTTTGTCAATCTTTTACCAGAATCGTTTGGCTTCTGAGTTTTTTCTTTGGTATCCTGCCTGCGCGTCTGTCGTTTGCTTTCCGGTGAGACGGACGCAGCGGTGGGTGACTTTGAGGTTCGGGCTCTTTTTAAATTTTCTGGTGAAACTGGCTCCTCTTTAATTACCTTGGGTTTTGACTCTTGTTTGATTTTGTCGCTTTCCTCCGATTTCGGAACTGGATTTAGTTTTCGTACTTTTGCTTGAGTTGGCGATGCAGATTTGATTGATGGCGTCTCTGATTCCTCGCCTAGCAATTCCTCCATTAATTCGGACTCCTCCGCAACATCCTCCTCTTTGCTGACTCCCTGCTCATATTCGCCTTCATTCTGATAGGGCACCATATCCACAACATGATCGTCTTCGATGTGTTTCTGCAATTGGCTCGAGCTGAGGAAAATAAAATCACAAAACTCGCACGCGTGTCTTTCGCTCTTCTTGTGCGCCTCCATGTGCGGCTCCAGGCTGCCCAAGTCAGCGATGCTCGCCTGACACAGCGGACAGACTAGCGAGATGCCCGCATGAATGGCCGAGTGATCCACCAGACTGTCATAAGTTTGGTGCGTATCCTTGCAAATGCTGCACGTGAATGAGGCCGCCGGCGCCTGCTTGTGCATGCGCAAATGTCGCGATAAATGATGTGACAGCAGATACGACTTGGAGCAGTACTTGCAGGGATAGACGCGCTTGCCGGCGTGCGCAACCAGGTGACGGGCCAACTTGCCGGCGGTCACAAAGCTCCGGCTGCAGTACTGGCAAGAGAATGGCAGATTTGTGCTATGTATGACCTGTGCATAAAATCAAACAGAAAGTTACATCTCAGCTCAGTCTCAGTCGATCGATAATGACTCACCTCGTGGCGTTCCAGACCCTGCTTGAAGGCAAACGCTTTCTGGCATACGCCGCACTGGAAAGGCCGCTTTTTGGTGTGGCGTTCGGCATGCTTTTCCATCTCCTTGCGTGAAATAAACGGCTTCTCGCAGTAAAGGCAAATAAACTTGGGCACATCCGTGTGAGTTCGCTCGTGGCGATGCAGCAGCGCGCGACGCGTGAAGGCCTTCTCGCAGACGCTGCACTTGTAGGGACGCTCGCCGGTGTGTATAAAGTTGTGCTTCTGCAGATCGTACTTGGAGAAAAAGCTCTTGTCGCACTCCGGACACTGAAAGCTACGCGTACGTGTGTGGTTCACAACATGTATGTCGAGCAGCTGCATCAGCGGAAATGAGCGATCGCAGTGTGGACACGGAAAGACGTTAGTTGCCACAGGAGCAGCATTTTTAATTGGATCCGCAGCCGCATCAACTGCATCGGGATCAAGTATTTCCGTAACCAGCGCCACATTACCGTCTTCGTAGTGCTTTATTTGAGGCGTGGCCAGGCGTGGTTCCACGGTGGTGCTGGCACCTTTGTTAAGCAGTCGCATCGACGATTTGTTAAGCACTTTTGGTTTGCCAGCCAAAGGTGTTGTTACAGGTGCGGGCTTTACGTTGTCCAGATCATCCAGTTCTTCGGCCATATCGGCTAACAAATTGTGGACATCGTCCATGGATAGTTCCTGGTTGTTCTCCACTTTCATCTGATATGACTTTGAGGGTTGGCGTTTTGCGGGAGATCCTCTTGGCGGAATCGGCGGCTCCGCAGAGCTCACTGCACCCGTATTGAGTAGCTTTTTGGTGAGCGAACTAGTTTCCAATACCTGTACGCTTTCAATTTGCACATTGTTTGACTTGGCCATGGAATTGAGCAGTTTTTTGGGCTGCGCTTCGGCATGTTCCTTCTTAACTGCCACCGTTTGATTGGCCACCAGCGGGGCACGCGGCTTCTCCAGCGGTTCTGGCCATTTGCCAGTAAGCGGATATTGGCGGAGTAGAGTCTCCGCATTTTTACACATCTGTTTAAAACGATAACAGTGCTCGAAGAGCAGACGACAGTCCAGGCAAATAAAGCTGGGCATTCCATCATTGCTCTGGACCTGTTCACAATAACAAAATAAATACGTTTAAGTGTGAATGGTCTGCAGATTTATATGGCAACACTGTGCATGCGCTCTGGCAACGCAGCGACAAGAGTGGCAACGCCATGTGCATTCATTTGGCGGCAAGCGGTGCACAACTACAAATGCAATCGCGCAGTTGTTTTCGTGACCGTGCGAAGCACGCTTTACTCCGCTCTCGTTAATCAATTGATTAAAACACGGTTAACCATCAAAGGATATTTTGTACAATTTTGAAACAAATGTAATCTGTTAATATCGCTTGCGTGGCTAATCAAGCAAAACAGTTGTTCACAGTACCGAAATCAGTTTAGTAAAAAACCAACGCACAAAACACAATCACAATCAAAGTGCTGAGGCTTGGTGGAAAGGGCGCAACAATTGCAGCCGAGGGCAGAAAAACGAACAAAAGGCAGGCAACAAGGAGAAACGCAAACAAGAGCGAGTGCAAGGAGATAGAGAGAGCGACAGAGAGAGAGACAAGTAAAATGACGGACGAATGCAAAATAAGAAGCTTTGGTTCACACAGCGGCAAAATAAACAACGATGCAGATAGCACAGATGCACAAGGAGAGGCGGGCGCAAGAGGTGGCAGTGCATCCAACGCAGTCGCGGCGCCGTAAGTGCACTTTTTGTTCCCCTTTAACAATTGAATATGGATATAAAACAAGGGTATACTAGTTTTCTGGAAATTTATGTACTCTGTGTCTCGGATCACGAAGATAACAGGAGTTGGACACTTCAAATGTGCAAATATATGCATATGTATATGTATGTGATTAAAAGTTTTAGTCATACTATTTGCGGGTTGATAAACGAAATCGAACAATCATATTTATGGCCAATTGTTAATTGGATTTAATTGTTATCTTTTCCTGATATTAGAACCGTTAACAAGTATGTAGCCCGTATGCCCACCGATCGCTATGCCGGAGAGTATAATATGAATCACAAGCACCGCGGACTGGCATTGATTTTCAATCATGAATTCTTTAATATACCCTCGCTGAAGGCACGTGCCGGCACAAATGTGGACTGCGAGGAACTGCGCAAGGCTCTGAAACGTCTGGATTTCGATGTGACTGTGCACAAGGATTGCAAGCTGGGCGACATACTCGAGCATATCAGAAATGCTGCCGCGCAGGATCACAGCGACAACGATTGCATAGCCATTGCCATATTGTCGCATGGCGAACATGGCTACCTCTATGCAAATGATGTGCAGTACAAGCTGGACAATATATGGCATTATTTGACCGCCAACAATTGCCCCACGTTGGCTGGTAAACCGAAATTGTTTTTCATACAGGCCTGTCAGGGCGACAGATTGGATTCGGGCGTAACGCTGGAAAAGAACGTAACGGAGACGGATGGTGATTCGTCAACGAGCTACAAAATACCCATACATGCCGATTTTCTATTCTCATATTCAACGATTCCAGGTGGCTTCGATTTTTGTTTAGTTTTATATGTGTTTTAAACTAACGCAAATCTTTTGTACAGGATACTATTCCTGGCGCAACACTGAAAAGGGCTCATGGTTCATACAGGCGCTCATCCAAGAGCTAAACGAAAACGGCAAAGTCTACAGTATGCTGAAATTGCTCACTTTTGTTAGCCAACGTGTGGCTGTGGATTTTGAGTCGAACGTGCCATCTACTCCGATCATGGATCGTCAGAAGCAAATACCGTGTGTGACGTCAATGCTAACTCGCATTCTGCGCTTTACGGACAAACACCCTACTAGCCAGGCAGGCTAGCTAGCTAGCTGTCTTGTTTAATAACATACATATTATTTATGCTAGCCGCATTCTGGATTCCATTTGACTTTAAGTTTATGATCGACAACGCAATTATTGGGCACAAACAAAGCCCAAAATACTCTTCCATTATTAATCACCAAAACTTTAGTAGATTAAGAAAATCGACAAACAAATGGATAAGATAAGAATCACAGCATTATATATTTGATAAACACGTATATAAATAAATATGAAATTCCCGCTGAAGAACTAATCATTTCAAATGCGAGCGCCCAATTGTCAGCGATCTGGCAGCATTGTGCCACTATGCGCTTGTGTATGTGCGTTTTTGTACAGTTGTCGCCATATTGATAAATTATTTTTATAGCACATTTGCAATTTGTTTATACCACTCTTTGCTTTGTGCAGTTATTATGTATACTGTGAAAATAATAAGGCCGGCCCTTGGTAGTAGTTACTGTGTAAAAAAGCGCGCCAAATAAGTTAGCGAAGACGCCAACGCAGCTATTTAGAAACCAACCAGCGATGACAAATATCTTAGCCAAGTTCGTGCTTGTGCATCTTATAGCTAATAGATGAGTTAGTGTAACCTAGAACCAAATCTCGACTTACCTCTATGGATGTTATGGCCATTATTTGCAGCGGCAGCGACGCGGTTGACTTTATGCGTGCGTTTTCAACATAAATTGAGGCAAGTTTGCTGTGTTGCACCAGACAGAAGCGGCAGATTTCCTTTTTGCGTAATTCGGCCTCGCGCACAATGCTTATGTCAGCCATCTTTAATATCGTATTACTTTTTACTCAACGACTCAATGCAAACGCGTCCTAGGTATTATAAGTTTTAATTATTTTGTTTTAAACAATCAAAAAAAAAAAGAGAAGAAAGACACAAACACAATGCCTTGCTTCAATACACGAACCCCGGATAGAGCTGCCACACTTCAGATAACCGAGGCCATTTTGTTGGCGTTGCCACACAGCTGTCAGGACGTTGCTACCTAGTTGCACAACGAATGCACTAAATATGACGCTCTCATTTTAATAGTAAAACAAAACGATAATTATTTAATGTTTATCATTTCTGCATGTGCATCAAACAAAATAGATAGTCATACGCTGCTGGATTAGCTCGTTTGTAGGAGACTGCACTATACATGTGAAGCTATATATGTATGCGTGAATCAGTTTTTCTAGCCTGGGCAATTCACTCTCATTGCTTTTGTATGCATATACGCACAATGTAAACACATTGAATAAAATACATTAGAGCAGGTAGACAAACGTTAACTCAGGTAGTCGCATAACAATGAAGTTACCTGCATTGAAACTAATTAAGAAGCATGATGTGCAGCAAAATACAGGTCGGCCTGAAATCTTCAAGGTCTGGCTTAGTTCTAGTTTACACTTTAGTGTTGTCACCAGTGTTGATTTAGTTTTTTTTTTTGTATCCTAATAACAACCAACACTGCTTATCGCCATTTTGTGCTTTAAAATTAAATTGTTTCTGATTGGATCGGATATTTAATATTGCTTGCTTGATTTGAATCTCCAATTGGGAAACGGTGCACGCAACTTTTATCAAATTTGTTAACTAATATTGAATGAACAAAACGAATAAGGGAATATATTTTATTTTGGCGTGTGCATCAGTCCATTAGATCGACATCTCGGAGACGGGCTTGCGTTTGCTCGCCAATATCAAAGATAACATGCTGCTGCAGCAGCTCGCGCGGCTCATACTTAAGGGACTCTTCGTAGGCATATTGAATGCTCGTATCATACAACATTAGCTTGCATTTGGCCAGCGCCAGAATGCAGTTGCGCAGGCGTGCGATGACCTCGCGCTCGTTGCGTGGCACTATTTCATTCAGATTCTGTGCGAAGCCACCCTCGCCGCCCTCCTGCTCCTCGGACTTTGTCGGCGATATCCAGATGTAGCCGTTGTTGCCCAGTATAACGGAGGCACCGCATGGCAGATTGTGGAAGTGCATCTTTCGTCTTTTGACTAGCGCAGGAAACACTTTGACCAGTATACCCTGGGATAGTTTGCCATATTTTAAGCTGCGGGTGTATAGCGACAATGTGCTCTCCTCAAAGACATTCTGCAAGGACAAAACATTGAGAATCAAGCGACAGTAATCTGGTTTAGTCATGATTTAACCTGGACTTCGGCGGATATCAAATCTCCCTCGTCCAGATAGCGTCTCATCATCTGTTCATCCTCCGCGGAGCGTCGCCTTAGCTCACCGCCTGGCAGATTAACTGAGGAGAGCAGCAGCACCGAATCCAGGCGCGAGTTTGTGTCGACACGCCAACGTTTTTGTCCCACTTCAAGGACACGGGCCACCACTACATCGCCAATCTCACCCACATAACGACTCTTGAGCGGTCGCACCGATATCAATTTGTTCACCTTCTCAATCACGCCCGCCACAGATGCTTTGATGTTCTCATCTTCGACGAAGGTGCCGTGGCCGCGCATGAAGCCCGCTTCCGGCATGAGCACCTCGCCGGGTGTATAAATGCGGGGTAATTTGTCTTGGTTTTCCGCCAGTGCATTCCAGTCAACGCGATCCAGCGCCAGGTCTATCATTGCGTTTGTTGACATCCTTTCCAGAGCGCTTAGTCTTCCTCTTCTGTTCCAATGCGCTCGCGCCTCTTCTTCTTCAGTTCACAATGCGTGTTTCGAACGGCTTTGCTTGTCTGTTAACTTAACAGTTTAAGAAACTTAACATACATTTATCGATAGATCGATAGCGATAACAACTGTAAATTGCGCAGCTGATTGCCGATAAGTTCGTCAGCAAGCAGCTGCTTGTGTATAAAAAGTAGACACAATGGACCAGCCCGATGATCATTTTCGCTATATACACAGTTCCTCGCTGCACGAACGTGTCCAAATCAAGGTGTAAGTACACGTGTACTACAACTGCTAGGACGCCTACTAAGTTTTTGTTTTGGTTTCTTTGCAGCGGCACCCTTGAGGGCAAGAAACGCCAGCCAGATTATGAGAAACTGCTCGATGATCCCATACTCCGCTTTTCGGGCCTCTATTCCGAGGAGTACCCCTCATTCCAAGTTCGTCTGCAAGTGTACAACGATGGACGTCCCTATTGCTTGCCCGTGCACAATTCGTACAAGGCCTTCGGCAAACGCTGGAGCTGGAACGAGTGGGTGACGTTGCCATTGCTATTCTCCGACTTACCACGCAGCGCCATGCTGGTACTGACCATACTCGACTGCTCAGGAGCTGGCCAAACCACAGTCATTGGCGGCACGGCAATTTCCATGTTTGGCAAGGACGGCATGTTCCGCCAGGGCATGTACGATTTGCGTGTCTGGCTAGGCGTAGAGGGTGATGGCAACTTTCCGAGCAAAACCCCTGGCAAGGGCAAGGAATCCTCCAAATCGCAGATGCAGCGACTTGGCAAACTGGCCAAAAAGCATCGCAACGGTCAGGTGCAAAAGGTCGATTGGCTGGATCGTTTGACATTCCGTGAAATCGAGGTGATTAACGAGCGCGAGAAACGCATGTCCGACTATATGTTTCTCATGATTGAGTTCCCCACCATCATCGTGGACGACATGTACAATGTGAGTGGACTGAGCACATTTTTCACGTTTTAGTTATGCTCACGCCTTCAACTCTTTTACAGTATTCAGTTGTCTATTTTGAGCCAGAAGTGGATAACAAGTATAAATTGCCAGTCAAACCCAAGCTGGTTCTGGTCCCGGATTCGGAAATTCAAATGGTGAGCAATTATCTGAAGCAATCAATCAAATGCCTTTATTTATTTGAGTTTTCTTTGTGCAGGAGAATTTGGTGGAGCGCAAACATCATCGTTTGGCACGTTCGGAGCGCTCTGGCATTTCGGATCGGGAAGCCAAACCGACAACTATGTACGTATTTAGGTAACTCTAGATGGAAGCTGAAACTAATGGCATATACTTTCAGCATACGGGATCAATTGCACAAAATAGTGTGCTATCCGCCCACTTATGTGCTGAGCAACGAGGAGCAGGACTTGGTTTGGAAGTTCCGTTTCTATTTGTCATCTCATAAAAAGGCGCTGACAAAGTTTCTGAAATGCATCAATTGGAAACTGAACGAGGAGGTAAACCAGGCGCTGTGGATGCTCGCCAATTGGGCGCCCATGGATGTAGAGGATGCACTGGAGCTGCTCAGTCCAACATTCACACACCCGGAGGTGCGCAAATATGCCATAAGTCGTCTGGCACAGGCACCTGATGAAGATCTTCTGCTGTACTTGCTGCAACTTGTGCAGGCGCTCAAATATGAGGATATCCGCATCATTATACAGCTGCACAAGTTCAACATACCTGAGCCGGAGCGCGACGTGGTGCGCTCGCTGCTGGACGAGAACGACTCTCTGCTAGACCAGAGCAGCATATCCGATTTGAGCACTGCGAGCAGCGCCCTGCATGCCTCGGTCATACCCGCCAATCAGCGTGCTGCACTGGCCGCCGGTAAGGTTGAGAAATCTACCATGGCGAGCAGTGCGAGTGCGCCGGCGATCAGGGCCAGCACTCCAGCACTGAGGATGGAGCGCGCTGATGCTGCCGATACAAGCGCCGGCTCGCTGGCCACCCAGTCCAACTCGCATACACCGCTGCTGGGCCAGACTGGTGCGCCCAATCTGTGCCAGTTCCTAATACAGCGCGCTTGTAAGAACGCCACGCTGGCCAACTATTTGTACTGGTACTTGTCCATCGAGGTGGAGGATGTGGCGTCGGTGCATAAACAGGATCAGCGGACGCACGACATGTACGCCATGGTCCTCAATATATTCCTCAAGGAGCTCTACGACGGTGCGTAGATTTTATGTCCAACAATCCCGCTTTCTAACTACCATTTTTCACATCCGCAGGTGACTTTCATTTGCGCGGCATTTCCTATAATCTGCGCAAGCAGCAGTGCTTCATCGACGAGCTGGTCAAGTTGGTTAAGCTGGTGGCCAAGGAGCCGGGCAATCGCAACAAGAAAACGGAAAAGTTCCAAAAGCTGCTGGCCGAGCAGACCATGTTCAAGGTGAACTTTACCAACTTTGAGCCCATACCATTCCCCCTGGATCCGGAGATCTATATAACCAAAATAATACCACAGCGCACGTCGCTTTTCAAGAGCGCTCTCATGCCAGCCAAGTAAGTGGATTGCTGCATTAGTTGCCAACTGAAAATAATCTTTATACGGTTACAGGCTCACCTTTGTCACGTCCATTGCAAAGCACGAGTATGTGGCCATTTTCAAGCATGGCGATGACCTGCGACAGGATCAGCTAATACTCCAAATGATAACGCTAATGGACAAACTGCTGCGACGAGAGAATCTTGATCTCAAACTGACGCCGTATAAGGTGCTAGCGACCAGCTCCAAGCACGGTTTCCTTCAGTACATCGACTCTTGCACCGTGGCTGAGGTGCTGGCCCGGGAGGGCAACATACTTAACTTTTTCAAGCGGCACAATCCCTGCGAGAGCGGCCCCTACGGCATATCCGCCGAAGTGATGGACACATACATCAAAAGTTGTGCGGGCTACTGTGTGATCACATATTTGCTAGGTGTGGGTGATCGGCATTTGGACAATCTGCTGTTGACGAGCACCGGCAAGCTGTTCCATATTGATTTCGGTTACATACTAGGACGCGATCCGAAGCCCATGCCCCCGCCCATGAAGCTGAGCAAGGAAATGGTCGAGGCGATGGGCGGTGTCAGCTCGGACCACTATCACGAATTCCGCAAACAGTGCTATACGGCGTATTTGCATTTACGTCGGCATGCCAATGTCATGTTGAATCTGTTCTCGCTAATGGTGGATGCCACAGTGCCCGATATCGCTCTGGAGCCGGACAAGGCGGTCAAAAAAGTTGAGGAGAATCTACAACTGGGCCTCTCCGACGAGGAGGCGGTTCAGCATTTGCAGAGCCTGCTGGACATATCCATAACAGCTGTGATGCCGGCACTGGTCGAGCAGATACATCGTATCACGCAATACTGGCGCAAGTAAATGCCAGTAAATGTAATATAACTTTTTAGGTAAGTGTATTTTAATCTAAACGTAGTAGGTAAAGCGCATACCTACATTCAGGTGTATTATATATATATATATATAAATATATTATTGTGTCGTGTGTATATATTAAGCAGACCCTTTGCTACTGGTACGCACAATGCATAAGCGCTCCAAGAAACCCGTGTGGGTGCTTTTCAAGATTTTCGAGCTCTTGATAAGCTCCATTTCTGGCTATGTGCATTTAAACGGTCTCAATGATGGAATTCCTCATATCTTTTTACCGTGCGCCACATTCGGAAGCGGCAGCATCATTGGAATTCTCAGCTTGGTCGGAACTTTTTTCGCCGACCAGCTCACCATGTGGTTTGAGGCCCTAACCAGCGGTACCTTGGGCACGTTGTATCTGGCCAACGTTTATGCGCACATGTATCTGGTGCAGCATAACAAGATGTTGCCGTTTCTCAAAGATCTCGAGGAGGAAAAGGACGGCTACATAATTTGCTGCAAAAGAAATGCCATTTTGAGTTTGTATGCAGTTGCCATCTATTATCTGCATTGCACCTTTGCGCTGGATATTCTCCTTTTTCCAGGAAGTGGTCCGTTTTCAAAGGATGTGCCGCGCAGCAAACGTCGACTTAAATTATACTTTATAAGCAAGGACGTTGAGCGTTACGTTAGTCGTTTTCGTTGGTTTCAACTGCTCACCGCCAGCGTTCTGACCAAGGTCGCAGAAAGGAAGCCATCATATTTTGAAAATGTTATTCGTAGCAAGCCAACATATATTGGACGTGTTAATCGTAGCAAGCCTAGCGTTTGAAATTTTTCGATATTTGCGCCATCGATAAATATTCAGAGCAGCTGTTTGCCATAACAGCCCTGTCTTATTGCGCGCCCAAATTTACAGCTGTTTTGAAACCTTTGGCTATGCGCTGTTATTGTAATCTATTTAGTTTAGTGTTTTTGGTGTGCGCAAAATATTTAGCGTTTTGGATAAAATTACAGTGTGTCGTGTTTTGCAAAACTTTTATAACAACAACTACAATAACTGTGTACTAAGATTAAATGGCAAGCGGTGCGGTAAGTGCAGTCGTTTTGTTTTAGTCGAGTGCGGTTTCCTACAAATTTCTGTCTGCAAAGTTTTCTGATTTTCATAGTTCAGTTTCTATGCGTGGGTGTTTTCGTGTGCCAACTTTTTGCCAAATGTGCGTGTATAGAATTGTGCTTAGTTAGTGGCAGGTACTCATATCAAAAGTTCTTGCTAAAAGTTAGCCGGTGCTACTAAAGTATCAGGCCAAACAGTTCTGCTCTGCAGCTGCAGACGCCGCAAATTCGCATCCCTCCCCCACAACTCAGCTGGCGTCCAAATAGTGCGCAGCTAGCAAACTTGGTCTGCCCGCTCTTATTGGTCTCTTTCTCTACATATCCCAGTCTCTCTCGCGCGCTCTCTCTCTTAGCCCTTAAGAGCGGCAAACACAATTGCATTGCGAGTCATGAGTCAGCCGCAAAGCAGACGTAGCTCTCACGTTGCCTTTTGTTATTGTTGTGCTTGGAATGCAAGCATAGCGCACGCTTGCCCTCCCCGCTCTACATGTGCTGCCAGCCGGCTGTGCCTGCAGGCAACCTCTCTCGCTCTAGCACTCCTTATTGGAGCAGCACGTGTTCATTTTCATGCAAAAATGTATGGTCGTGTATGTAGGTATGCGTGTTTGTACGGTTTTCTTATTTCTTTACTTTTTTTTTGGCATACTGTGAAGGTATGCGTGAGCATTGCGTCTGAATTTGTATGATGGGCATATGTTTTAATGTAAATATGCTTGTTTGTTTGACAACAAATTATAGTTACGTGCAGCTTAAAGTAAGAGTAGGGCAGACCTATACTAGTGATAAATACAACATTTGCTCAGAGGCAGATGAGAGAGTTGATAGAAGGTGCCAATTACAATTTTAAATGTTCATATATCCTTTTGTGACGTCAGCGATGTTCGATCGTGGGAGTTGCCACTTGACACAAAAAGTGACACCTAGTCAAAGTTATCGATCACAGTCAAGCTTCGATAACACAACGTGCAGTCAACTTTTTAATCAACTAGAAGCCATCAATTTATTTTTGTGCAATTGTAATTCAAAGCCTGGCTATGATTTCCTATATACCACATTGCACAATTTACACTGGCCTGGGTATGTATCAACCTTTAGTTTTGCAGTTATTGTCCGCGAAAAGACTCGATTCAAAATATGACGTCGTAAACCAAACTCCCGTGCCGAAGGTTCCCATAGAAAACAAAAAAAAAACTAAAAAACAACCAATCCAAAGCGAACGCTGTGTACGTGCCGCTTATGCAGCTCCATAGATCGAGGGGGGGGTAATCAGTTTACGCTGACGTTGTTCTCTGCTGCTTCTTGCATGCCCATTCTCGGAGTCACACACACACACACACACACACACACACTCACTCATAGTCATACTCGTGTTCAAATGCAACTTATGTAGCTACATCTAAGTAATTTTACTGACATACTGACATTTGTATATGTGTGCTAATATGGTGTGCGCTGTTTTTTCTTTTTATTTTGGTTGTTGTTTGCTATTTCATGAACTGATACTAACACGGGTGCTACTATTTCAGTTGCTTACTAAATAGTTAGTGCCGGAGCGGGCTGACTAAGCGATCGACCCAATGAGCGACTGTCGCGCCATATTAACCATACTGTGTCAGCCCAGTGCTGCTCGCAAACAGACACACACACACGCACACACAGAGACAGACACACATATACAGTTGCATATGCGACGTTTTTTGCATATGCCCCAATGCAAGCACCCAAACCGCTAGACGCTCCATTTGCTAGTAACACCCTGTAATTATGCCAAATGGGTTGTTTTGCTTAGATAGCTCTGTTGAACGGGAAGATAGAAAAAATCGTTCACCTTTAAGACTGGGTAAGGGAATTGCTGTTCATTAATACAGTTATTACTGTACATATTTATACTTTTTTATTTTTATAAAGTGAATATCTACACCTTATAGAATACACATATCCAATGTCAAAGGCCCGTTTATATATAGGTTTATTTCCTGCGGGCTTGCTGCAGGGTATTTCGTCTTTCAGCTTAAACGCATTTGCAGCTTTCTTATTTGTTTGTATGTGTGTGTGTGTGTGTGTGTGTGTGTGTCGCTGGCGTCCACAACGTGATAAAAACTTTAAACATTGAATTGTGATACTTCGTCACTTGGTTGTAAATTGAAATAAGACCCATATGCCGCCGTCAGCTGCAGCGTCCCGCTCGCCGTTGTTGCTACTGCTGCGTCCCGGTTCGGACCCGGCTCCCGCTACGTCTCCGGCTGGCGTTGCAACAGTTAAGCGTGAAACGAGAACTAAATAAAGCACAGAACTAAAACGAAAATAAAAACAAAAATTCTATTGCGATTGTCAGCAAATTTTCTTCAAATGCAAAAAAAAAAAAAAAACAAATACAAAAACAAAAACTTAAAATAAATAAGAAAACAAGCAAAGAAAATGGAAAGAGAAAAGCAAAAGCCGCAGCTCGACTTTTGTTTAGCCAAGTTTTCGGTTGCTTCGCTTTATGTTTTAGTATTTTTGATGTGTTCTTTTATTATTTTTTTTTTTTTTTACAGTTATTTGCTTTTTCCATTTTGTTTTAGATATGTAAGTGAATATTTATTATTATTTATGTATGCGAATCGCTCGTTGCTCCGATGATTCCGCTGCTCGCTCTCTCTTCAGCGCTCGGTATCAGAATCTCTGTTGCTGTTTCGGTCTCTGTCCGTGTCTACGTCTACGTTCCCCCTCCCCCATGCCCGTCTTCGCCTGGTGCTCGGAGTCGGGAGCCGGGGCCAGTTCTGGCGCATTCAGTGCAGTTTTGGCCGCCTCTGGTTAGGTTGTCCTAGCGCGCAATTTTCTTTTAGTTCTCCATCCCGCTAAGCATTGCCGTTAGTTTCATTCGGTGAGCGCATTTCGCACGTGTTTGTTTTTATTTTTATTGCTCTATTTCGACTCGAAGCTCTGTTCTGTTGTGTTTCTGACGTTCCGTTTGTTATCTGTGATGCGTTCGCGGCCCTTCGAAGCATTCTATTTGGCTTGACTCATAAATGCATCCAGTTGGTGCAACATTTCGATATTTGAAATAAACGTGCAACAAACGGCTATATAATTGCTGGCTGTCGTTCTTTTAGCGAATATTTGTTTACATGGTGAGTTTGTGTTGAGAAAACATTTTGAATAACTGTAATTGCCAATTTAACCGCTATTTCAATTTAGTGTTGGGTAATTTCAAAAGTTGAATTTAGTTTGAAAGTTAGTCTTGAAAAGTTTATTATCTAAACTGACTTTTCTAAAACTTGTATCTAAAACTGATATATATTCAAAAAAGTTATATTTAAGGTTGTTTTTATTATTGCCTTTCCATTATTTTGTTGGTTTGTACTCTTAAAAGTATGCTATGTGAATTCAAGATATTTATCTCAAGTTCGTTTGAATTTATGAATTATTATTAGTTTAGCTTACAAATAAATGAAGATCTAGGAACTTAGGTTTAGAAAAGAATCGAAAAGAGGCATGATAAATATGAAAAGAGATCTTGAAGTTTATATGTGTACAATATAATAGAATGAATCAGGAATATCGAAATAGGAAGCATTAGAGAGGAAATCCTCGAAATTTAAGAAATTTATTGATATTGAGTATTTTGAAATACTTGATAGTTACAAGAGTATTATTACGAAAATGCTTCCTAAGACGTGCCATAAAAAACCCGCATATACACGTATATGTTCTATAGTCGTATTCTCTTTAGCCTTTCTTACAAATCAGAGTCTTGGAATAGCTTTATAGTGGCAATATTACCGTTAAGTCAGCGTTCAAGTTTTATGGGTCTTGAGTCACACGTTGCCATCAATGTAGTCATAGTCTCTGTTGTATTTGGTCACATTATCTGATAAACCAAACCAGGCAGACAGACTGACAGACACACGGTGCTCGTTGAGGGGGTTTGTTGACCCTGCGCCGCGAATGTGGTTGATAAAGATTTTTGCAAGACGCGTTCGAACAACAACGGGCAACAACTTATGCGAAGATCATGTCAATATAACAACATTTTATGGCTCCACTACAAAATCTTATGTCAACGAGAGGTGATGACGGAAGGGGGGCGGGGAGGGGTGATGGGGCTTAACCCATAAGTAAAACGCACACGTAACCAAAATAAAAATGGTAGCAGAACTTAAACTATGCCGAATAATTGCTAAAACCCGTAGCCGGAGCGCCGTAACCATGTCTTGTTCTTGCCGGTTGCCGGTTGCTGGTTGCTGGTTACCCAAGGCCAACGTAACCATCAGGTTAATTAACCCGCCATTGTTAATCCTCTAGCCGGCATATCAGCTAATAACCAACTATCCAACTGGTTCGCTATTGTCACAATCGTTTTTTGCCCATAATGAATTCAATTATTGTCACTTGAGTGCGTTAAGTATGCGCAACTTGTGACCGCCTCAGGTATTTGTGTAGTACCTACAAGTCCAAAAGCGTACCCAGCTGAAATAGTTGGGAGTGAAAAATTGTTGAGAAATTCACGTGCTTATGGAGGAACGAAACTACAAAGGGCTGCAAAACTAACTATCTCACTGGATACTGTTGATCTTAAAAGTACGATTAATATATTTATATTTCATATATTACAAATGCCTGAAAAAGGCAGCAGACTTTGCATGGGTTCCTGGAGCTGATTTTCTTGTTTTCCACTGCAAAAGGCTCATCGAATCTACCGAAAATTCTTCTGAGAAAATTCTTTGAGCTAATTGAAACTTTTTTGGTTAAATATATAACAATCCCATTTCTTATATGCTCAAAGATTCTGCTGGCTGAATAAGAAATCGAAGAGAAAGTGGAAAACGGATTCTATATGAAATTATATTAAATGTTTTTTTCACTTCCCCCAAAAAGTGTTGTCAAGTGCCGCCAAGCCGAAGCCAAGCCTTTCCTTATAACATATCCGACACAATAATTTTTCAAACTCATGCCTTA